AAGGAACATTTTTGTTTGGAAAAATCTTTATTTCTAATATGTTAATCTTTAAATGAGATTACGTAGCGTTAAACAAAGATAAATTATCCGCAAAAATATATTTTATACGACTCAACAAAGAAAATCTATACTCTTATTATTCAAAGATAATTTTCATTAATCAAAGATACAAAATATTGGATTGAAACATATTTTTAAATGTGTATTATATCCCAGGTGCCACTTAAAACTAATGTACTCGAATTAACAATTATTGTTTCATATATAAACAACGATACATAATTTTGTCAGAGAAATTTTATCGTCTTAAATTTAAGCAATTATTTGTCGAATTGAATATAAAATATATTGACGTGTGCAAGTAACTGACCTTCATTTAACTTATCTTCATTTATTTTATTTGAAGATTGACATGACAAAAATAAGGACATTTTCCAAATAAGAATATCTTTTTCTTCTGTGTACACAAAGAATTTTATAGTAAAAATTACTGTAGGATTTTGTGTACGAGGAATAGATCGATATTCTGTAACAATTCACTCTACTCTTTCATTTCATATATGTTACTTATATTTTAGAAACTGAAGTATGCTATTAGAACACTTGCTACGTTTCTTGAGAAATTTACTATGTTTTTTAGCAAGATAGAGAAATTTATCATACTACTGCTAAGAAAAGCAGTTATTCAGTTTATTTACCTTCTTTTAAGTAATGGTTATCTTCAACAAAGAATATTTTCTTGTTAATAGTCTTCAAATATACTCACGAATTTTAGATAAGCTTATTATCATATACTCAGAAGAAGAACTTATTCCTTTTACAAGAATATTGTTAAACTTTAGCGAAGAAAAACTTGATTCAACTTTATATAGTAAACAAATCGAATTTTTGTTTTAATTTAATATTTTTGATTAAAAAGCTAAACCTACTAGAGTTCAAAATGTATTTCTATTTACAATTAATAATGCAATGCTTATGATGAAAAGTTAAGAGATTATGAGAGCTGTATATTAAGAGATTTGCGAATATATAAATTTATAAAATATTTAAAAGAAGTTACATTTACTTGAATGTATCCCAGGACTACTAGATCTATTTATCGGTACCTATCAGAATATTATTAACTTTTTTCGCATAAATTCCTTTTAATTTTACTAATTCGGTAATTTCGGTAATTATTGACAAAAACGGACCACCTTCCGAGGACGATGACCTTCACATATGTTGTTAAAGTCATCATCCTGAATAACATTCAATTTTAACCGTCGCTCATTGTTTGTTAAAAAGTTATTAACAAAAAAAATTATGATAAAGTTCCTGTTTAGAGGAGGTTGTTTCAATAACCTTAACCTTAACATATGTTATAGAGGTCACCATTCTGAGTGATTTTCTGGAGGTTTTAGCCGTCGCTCGTTGTTCGTTAAAAAGTTATTACAAAGAGTTATTACAGTCGTACAAAAGATTTTACATAAAATGAATGTAATTTTTGGACACACACACCGCGAACCCGCCCGAGCGGGCAGGCGAGTAGTGTGTGTGCGTGTGTGCGTGCATATGCAACTGAACGTAAGACACGGCAGCAGCTAATTGACTGATACTATGTGTTAGTTATTTATCTAACTTTTTAAAATTTCCACAATGTATTAGAATCATGTGTTACATTGAGAAATTCATACAAACGCTTGTTGAAAATTTGGAAGCCGTGTGTTACGTTCAGTTGCATACACACGCACACACATACACTGCTCGCCCGCGCGCGCGCCGCCCGGATGGGCTCGCGTTGGGTGTGTATGTTCCTATTATATTTGAGGTTTTATAAATAAAATGTAATTTGTCTCATTAATTTATGTAGTGTCGCAAAATTATATGGATAATTTTTGAATCATTCTAATACAATAGGAAAACAAGCATCTACCGCGAGCCCGCCCGAGCGGGTGGACGAGCAGTGTGTGTGTGTGTGTGTGTGTGTGTGTGTGTGTGCGTGCTAGGGGCACTTTCCTAGTCTACAAATTCGATTTTTGTATATATTGTGTCCAAAAATTACATTCATTTTATGCAACTTTTTTTGTTAATAACTTTTTAACGAACAACGAGCGACAGCTAAAAACTTTTGAATGTTACTCAGAATGATGACCTCGACAACATATGAAGGTCATCGTCCTCGGAAGGTGGTCTGTTTTTGTCAATATTTACCGAAACATAGTAAAATTGAAAGGAATTTATGCGAAAAATGTTATAATATTCTCTTCGTGTATGATGAGTTTGTGTACTGCAGATTTTGCAGTGAAAACTTACTTCTACTGGTCGAAATAGTTGAGATGTAAGACGGAACAGTGAAATGGGAGTGTTCCCACTGAAGATCAGTGAATATCCGTTATATCTTATTTACTGTCTCTGAGATACTTCTCTTGCTGATTCGATCGGAAATAGTCTTACCGATTCGCTTGAACAAAGCAGAGTTTACAAAATCGATACGCACAGTTAGCTCTAAAAAGTCGTAGTGGATAATGTGCTAAACTCGCGACATAAGCGAACGCTCCATTACCCTTGTTTGTAACTTTCTAAGCTCGAATGAATAAAAATAAGAACGATCCTGTTCTCCCCTCGCTCCTGCTCATGTGACTCGTTAAAAGCCCGCGATCGCGTCGCTCTATAAGTGTCACGTTGCATCCGCGTCGTAACACTGGCGCACCGTGAACGATGACATTACAGATCTCGAAAATGAGAGCTATTTGTAAGTGGAGGGGTTACAACGATTCCATCGCTAAGTTTAGAACCGATGCGGGTGGGAGTTAAGTATTTAAGACGCTGTTAAAGTTTCACGGTTCTTTCCCCGTGTGCGCTACCTCTCTCGTACTGCCCGGGCTCTTTTGAAGTGGGCAGCTGCAGTAAAGGGGCCTATATATATATATAAAGCACGATCGGGACACGAGTCTGATACGCCTAGAAAATTCTTCTAAATATTTGATCGCGCTGCTCGCTACGGATTTTAGAAGCCGCACAATAATCCCCGCGGTACACGCGCGCTCGCCTAACTCGATTCTTCCCTGCTCCTCTCTCTCTATTCCGCCCTCTTTCTGCTTCCCTTTCCGTCTCCTCGTACTCTAATAACTCGACAAAATTTAAGCTTATTCTTGTTATCTCCGCTCTTCAATCCGCGCGCTCTCCTACCTCCGCCCATGCGCGGGATTAAATTTGTCTAACTCCGAGTTGTCTAACACTGAGAGCCGCATATTCTTTCCGCCTAAGCAAAATAATTGGCGTTGACCTAATAAATTAAAGCGCAGCATAATGGAATTCTCCCTTACAACGCGGCAGACCGTTCCCTGGACGAACCATGAAGCAAATAATATCGCGAGATATATGTGCTTTCTTTCGACGCGTTTGTTCTTCTCTTTACTGGCGCTCTCCACCGTTAACTCGAGCTGTATCGAGCTTAATTATCCGTTATAAAAAGCAGCCGATCGTTATTGGCAACATAGGATACGTATGAGCCGAGTTTACTGCCGAGTTTGCACGCTCAGCATACGAAGGCAGGGCGTGCGACGAAATAAAATTCAGTTATTCCGACGGGTGTCGCAAGAAAAAATTTACGTACGAATTCTCGTTTCTGATGTCATAATCGAATATAAGTGCCGTGACCGGTCTAGGAACTTGATACGTGTTCAATTCTGTTTTCGAGGTGATTAAGAGGATGACACACCATGTTGCATGCAAAATTACCTTTCCCTCTGGTATAAATTATCCGCGTCATTATATAACACGTTTCATACTTCGGAGATCGGATTAACAGCGCAAAATTAGTAGTAACGAGCAAAATCTAATTTTTGAGACATTAATACACGCACGCACCAAACTGATGACAAGTTAGCATGATAATTTTGCAAGAGAGTGTTTGTTAGTTATTCTTGCAGTTAGCCTTACTTACCAGCTTCGAGAAAGAGACACGATAATAGCAACCATAACAGAGGTGACAACTACACGAATTCAGTATGTAGAATTAATGTATACTTTAATAAACTATTTTGTAGTCACTGCAACTTAAGTTGAATGGAATTATGAAAACTATATAGTATAACAACTATATAATTTTCATCATCATTCAGCTTTAGCTGCAATAATTATAAAAGAGCTTAAACTATATACATTAATTATTTTGTAGTTATTGCATTAAAGTCAAATGATTATACTGGAAGAAAAATAAAAAATAAGAAATATTTATTCGACAAAACATTAATAACATATTTACCTATGCTTATATATATACACATATTTTTACATTGAAAAAAAATTTCTTTCAAATAAGAAAATACGCATTTTCCCCTAAAACCGCGTTGCTGTTCATGAAAACAATTATTTATTCTACTTAAACAAAAGAAAATTACGATTTAAGTAAATGTATTATTAACACTCACCGAAATTAATGCTTTTTATTTTTTAGATATTTTTCCTCTTAGCGTACGAGAAATATATAGTAACAATGTAGTTCGTGTAATCATTCAGCTTTAGTCGAAATAACTACAAAGTAGTTTGTTAAACTATATACATTAATTCCACATACAAAATTCGTATAGTTGTCATCTATATAGTTGTCACAGATGTCTTTTTCTTTGTGTATACGGTATATATGATAAAACTATTTCTCGCATAATTAATTTGTTGAACTATACGATTACATAATTTCTTCTTGTTCTCACTGAAATGTTAATCTTTCTATGACTTAAATTTGTATCATTCTTAGTACAATATAAGCATTCCACACATTACTCTTTTTCAGTATTTCTGCACACATCAAATGTGTCTGAAATTAGTATTGACGAAAACATCTTCCGAAATTAGTATTGACGAAAACATTGGTGTTCAAACAATCGAAAGTTTATCGAATACGCGATTTTAGATCTTACAAACAACGAATATGTGTGTAAACGACTCGCATGAGCAGACTCTCCCCTCCCTCCCGCATTTTATATCCCAGGCTTTAGCTTCCGAGACGACTAACGTGCTACAACACAGTCATCCGCGGTCATCTCGTGCAGAACGTTCGCGGCGAAGCCAGTCGGGAGTCGAAGGAATCAATCGATCGCGATTGAAATTGTTAGTGCTTAGTGTTTGACGTTTCTCTACTATCTCACGATTTGCCGTGCAAGTGTGCTATGCTGTGAAAAGAATTAATCCTTGCGAAACATTGATTCGCCGGCGACAAAATTTTTATCATACTTATGGAAGATGCAGTGTTAAGTAATCTAAAAAATGGTTCAATAACTATGAATTAGTAAAAATGTGACAGTTTCAAAAGGGAGATACATGTCGATGACACGCGTGCCCGAGCTAAAAGAAATTTATATAACTCGTTAAATTATAATCACTGGAAATGATGATATGCGCGCGTTACTGCTAAAAATTATGAATTTTCCATCTATCCGCGCCTGACAAGAGAACGCTTAACAGCGCCACAAAATTCGGAGCGCGCTTTAGCGGATTTTTCGCGTGCAGTTTGCGAAAAAAAGAAAATAACGATTTCATTCCCTCACACATCTTTCTGAATTTATTAAAAAAAAAACAGATACCCATACTCGTTAGTTGAAACGCTGACATAATAATGACTCGTTGCACTGGCACATTTATTCTTTCTGGTTTTTTTTTTTTCTTTCGCGTTTTATCGATAATAAAGTGGAAAAGTATGGAGGAGCGCGCTGCCGCGCGGTACAACTCCGAGCGACTTTTCAACTGTACAAATCCGCGGCAGTTGTTTCGAGAACGAAAAAAGCATTACGACTGCAGCGGACTAACACAGCCGGTGGAAGAAAAAAGAAACAGCTTTTGCACCGACCGAAAACCGTAAAATGCACCGTAAAGCGCGTTACTGCGGGCCATTTAGAAAGATCGATCGATCCCGCGAACACTTTCCGAATGATCGATGCACCGTCCCAGAATGCCGGTTCCTTTCTCCGAAATAGAAGACTGGAATCGTTGCCCGGGCGGAGATAAATCACCGATTTTCTCCAGTATTGTATATTGAAAAATACGAGAAACATAAATTGCGATAATCTCAGCGGTGCATGGACGAAGATTTAGCAGGCATCGCCTGTAAACGCGTTATTCTGTCGCGCGCGCGCGCGCGCGTGTTTAAAAGTCAGCTTGTATACTTGTTTCGTCGGAACGCGTTGCGTGTGTCGACTTATGTCGTAGCGTTTGATTGAGTCAAGCCATTATTCATTCAAAAGCGAGACGTCGCAGATCGCAAAATTTATCAATCGCGCATTCTGATATGTGTCATTTGCATTACTTGTTAATATGATTGAATTCTGTCGATGATATTCTTGTAGAACAAGAGAAGGAGCTCTTTTAATACCTGAACACGACACGCCGTATATAATCCGTTTTACTACGTTATGTTTTGAATCCGATATTTCGCAATAAAAGTGCTTTAATGGGAATAGCGTCCTCCTTGCGAGAGGAAGAAAGGAGAGAGCAGAAACGAGACTCGTGAAACAAGACAATGAACCCTATATGCCGTACTATAGTCTACTATTTCCTGGCTGTTTATTTAAAGGGTCTGCTGCAATCTTTGAAGCTATACGCTGGTCATCCTCCGGATCTTGTAAAATGCACTACTGATTTTAACGTAAGTATACTTTTCCTCTTTTACTATACGTTCAACTTTTAATGAGAAATATTCGAAGACTGAGAAATGAAGAGATACTCTTCACACTCAATGTGTTCACACATTTCGTTCCGATTCACGAATAAGATCTAAGGTCAATTATCTAAGTAAAAATTTTGCTCTCCGTTCGTAACAAACATATTCAATAATATTAAAAAAGAAAATAACGTCACGCAAATTTGTCCATGTTTATTAATGATATTACTTTCCTCGCTCGTGTGACACGCGTCTCTGTTTTACGTTATAATTTAATTACGATTTATATTTATAATTTCAAGCAAATTTGAATACTTTTATCACTTTTGCAATATTACTAAATTACCTATTCGACAAAAATAAATATAGTGCGTCCCAGATTCGTCGTATTTCCTTTCATCTAGACAAACACAGAAATTTGATCGGACATTATCTTCCACAGAGAGATCCGTAACATTTTAAATGTATCCGTAAAAATTATATGATAAAATAAATCAAGAATTTGATAGAGAGTAAAGCGAATTTGAAATTAAATGGGAATAAAATCCTCACTTCTATTTACCACTCTGAAGTTCTCAATATTAATTCGTAAAAATTCATAACTGTCCCATCGATTATAATTTCCGGAATTAACATATTCGATAATTTGATCAAAAAGGAAATTTACTTACTGCAGCTGACTGAAGGGAATTCGTATACCAAGAAAAAAGGAAGTGGTCGAGTTAATGAGACTCTGTCTGAATGAACAAGATTCGTTCAAGCAAACATTTAGCCGATTGAACGAATTATACAGTTGCTGTGACGAGTTATCGATTGAAATGATCGCGATTTGGTCAATAACTACATTAACTTGCGACTTATTATTTCCTTTGCGCGTAATTTGTTCGCTAGATACAACATTTCTTTAAAGGCGGCTTTGAAACCGCCGATTTTGTCGATCCAACTGTTTTTCTCTCAGTGTAGATGAAAGATACGTACGAGAATCTGGGAAAAGAACTAATCGTAAAAATTTTCTTAAAAATTGAAGCATAAAATAATATTGCGCATCGCAAGAGAGCGCAAATTTATCAATCACATTAGCCGCGCATAAAATATGAAGGAGAAATTTAACAGCGAATGAAGTCAACGATATTCGATATCGGGATAAGGACGAGCGACGCTACTTTGTCGCTCGATTATGGACGTAATGTCCGTGATTATCGTGCAGGATATCCTCGACAATTTTCGAGGTCTGACTTCTCCATAGCTCACCTGTGCCGGTGGGGTCGGTGGGTACCCCTTGCGGGCAGCAATGTGCCGCGAACGGATCGCGGTGAGTCAGCAACGATAAATCGAGCGATTTATGAAGCGGCACGGCCAACGACCATTCTCGAGGAATAATGTTGGGATCGATCTACACACGTACGACGTTGAGGCGGGTCGTCAGAATTTTCAGACGCCCATCAGCCTCGTTAATTGTCTCGGACGAGAGGTCGAGACGTCCTCCCATGTAGTATGATGATTTGATCGATTCGATCGTAACATTGAATAGCGGAGAACACGAAGGCGCTCGGGGAATATTTTAAATATTCAATATCGCGCGCTTTAATTCGCCGAGCGAGATGATTCGCGAGCAACTTTCAAATAGATTTATGCACGCAGAAAAATTTCGTTCCACTGCCAGGAGAAACGACTACTCAGTTTAGTTTCCTTCTTTTGAGTAATGGTTATCTCTCACAAAGAATATTCTCAAGAATATTTTCTTGATAATATTCCTAAAATGGACTCATCACATATTTTAGAAAAGCTCATTGCCATGTAGTCAAAAGAAGAATTTATATATATATATTCTCTTTACAAGAATATCATATAAAGTTTTATCGAAGAAAAAGTTGATTCGACTCTGTGTAGTGAGAAAACTAGATTTTTATTTTAATTTAAAGAGTTACAGTACTCCAATAGAAATAAGTAAAAAATTAAATAGACTATTTAGAGAGTTGTAAACAGTTATAGTAGTAGTAAGGATATAATTTTTTGTTATGTGTTATATATGTCTATTATATTAATTTGTTATATAATATTTGTTATATGTTTATTAACAACATGGTGTAAAAAATTTAGATTTTATTTTGGATATTAATGATTGTGTCCATTTCTATTCAATTCTATTCTGCAAAAGAATTTTGTTTCATTGGTGACCATCTTAGCTTCAACAAAAATAATCTAAAATCAGTTTTAATACGTTTTTTTATTTTTATTTGGATTATAATTACTGGTTTATGAAGCGAATTTTGGAAAAAACAACATTTGCAAAATGAAAGTTAAAAAGAATCAAGTTTAATATTTTCACTGAAAAATCCGAGCAAATGAAATAAGTAAATAGCAATATTAAAATTTTTAACATTCGTGAAAACATTCGTGAATCAATAACTCTAATGAATAAAAAAAATGTATTAATACTGATTTCAGATTATTCCTGTTGAGGAATTGAAAATGATTAGTGTTGAAGTATGATTCTTTTGTAGAACAGAAGTGAAATTAAAACTTAAACCTTTTATATCAAGATATTGTTAGACGTACACATAACAAAAACTTTATACTCCTATTAATTTACAATTCCCCAAATCTTATTTAATTTGCACTCCCATCAGGATTCTATAACTTCTTAATATTCTTGACAAAAATGCTAAATTTGCCAGGACTTCCCTTAGAAAGTATATTGAATAAATTTAATGCTTATGATGAACTTAGGTTTACGAATATATAAACTTATAAAATACTTGGGACAAGTAACATTTATTTGAATGTAATATATATTTTTTTGTAATATATAATAGTAGTATATATTTTTCTGTAGTATATAATAGTAAATATATATTTGTCAGTTTTTTAGATCAAGTTAATTGTTCTTTATTCGCTCTAATAGAAGGACAGTTAGATGCGATAAAATCACGCCAGAAATTCAGAAATCACGACTGATTTTTATCAAGGCACATTTACTAAAGTGCTCAGCAAAACCCGTGTACATGAATTATTCACACTATCTTCCACAATTTCCTTGATAATTATTATCGGATGGAGTTAATTTAATCGATCATGCGAAAGCTAGCAGGCTAATTAGCGTCAGTTTTTACGTTCATTTTACGATCTAGATATCACGCCATGGCCATTAGCGGTATTACAAGATCTCATCACAGCTCGTTACGATAAATTACTGTACTATTACGTGAGAATGTGATTTGTCAACAATGCTTCTTTACGCGTGAAACTGTGCGAAAAGGTAATCCTTAATTATCCATTTGGAACATAGCAGATAGCTTTTCATAAATATTAAAATAGAAATAAATTAAATTTCATAAATTAAATAGAAAAAGAAACTGAGAAATTATGCGTGTGCAAACTTTATATGTGAATTTTTTAAATAATTCGAAATTCTGTTTTAACGAAAATTTCGTTGGATGCTATTTTTCACATTCATTAAATCTCTGTTATCAAACAACTAAGCAATGAAAGAGTGCCGTGTTTGTATAAAATAAAATCCCATTGAAACTGTATTGAACATAAAGATTTGTTGCATATTGATTCACGACCGTTATGGCTACGGCGGTAAATTTGCAAAAGATCATCCACCCTTAATCGCTTGTAACATTAAAAACAACTTCATTTGGAGACTCGTATTTTACGAACACTCGTTTCACATTTTTGAATTCTCGATGCAATCCCCAAGTTTATACACACAATCTTTTTCTTTTTTATACAACATCACGCACGTAACACAGCTGTGTCTGCGAATTATATTAAAACCGCCGTGTTATCTCACGCCGAGAGAAAATTTCCACTCGCTACGTAATCTTCTTAGAAATTATGCGAAGATTTCGATATCGTGCGCCGCGCGCAACATATATCTCGAATACATTATTATATCTAATAAGAAATTCCTCCGCTAACAAATTTCTCCGGTGTTCCCGCGCGCTTCTGCACTGAGAAGAAAAGGGCAATTGGATGAGCAAAATCGGCAATTTCGAACCCACCTTCAAAGAAGTATCGTATCGAGTAAATTACACGTCAGTACAACAAGAAGTCGCAAGTTGATATAGTCACTGATTAAATCGCGATCTTTCAATCAATTGGCAACTCGTCACAGTAACTGTACAATTCATCCAAACGACTGAACATTCGCTCGAACGAATTTCGTTCGTTCAAACAAGCTCTCATTAATCCAACTATTTTTTCCGCTCAGTGTATGTTGCTCGTAATGATGGTAACCCGAATACCGAATGTATTTCCGGTCTCAGTCCGATCATTCGATTGTGCCGCGCTTGATTCGTCGCACAATCGCCAAATTTAGAAAAAGGACACCGATTGGGACTTCCCCCATCTAAATGGAAATTAATTTAATGCGATAAGGTAAGGTTTACTCGAATGGATATTACGCGAGCGTATCGGGTTACGAAGTTTCTGCGCGCGTTTAGCACGACCGGTATAAATTAATCGATCAAATTTCAAGGATTTCATTAAATTCTAAAATGGACCCGTCGCTTTGCTTAGATTACGATGTCTAAGATTTCAAAGCACTGTTTTGCAAGATTCGCGTTCTCTCTCTTCGGGAGCCCGCTGCTTCTTTTGTCGCGTGCAAGACGGACGATAGTCGTGTTACACGCTGCAACATCGAACACGTCCCGCTATTTTTCGTAGTTCCTGCTATCGTACCGTCGATAATTAAAAATCGAAGTGGGACGTGAACGAGCGCCTGCTGTTCGAAAGTACACGGAGAACGCGAAATAATAAGAAAAAAAATTCTTCACATTCTTTCGCAACACTTTCAACTACGAAGCGAAAGATTATTTGCGCGAAATGTAAGACGTAGTTGCTTCATACTCTTACTTGAAAATAAATGTTTTTTGCCTATATATTTTTTCTCTCTTCCTCTTTCTCGTTAAGAGCACTCACTTCATGTAAATTTGCGCGAGAACCGTGTCATGTAATAAACGCGTGCTCGCGACTGT